AGTAGCAGACTCCTCCAGCACCCAGGCCCGTTGCTACGGCAGCGGCACAGGGGCCAAGAGTGTCCCAGCTCTTGTAGCTGACTCCTCTCGTGCCCAGGACCGTCACAAGGGTTTGGAGTGTCCCGGCTCCCGTAGCTGACTCCCCAGTGTCCAGTCCCGTTGCTATGGCAGCGGCACAGGGGCCTTGGCTCCTGTACCTTTTCATTTTTATTTTTACTAGCTATACTTTTCTTCTTAGAGGGATAGTAAAATTTCTTTTAGGTGGAATAGATTATATTTATAAGATTAAAAGTGACTGAGTTTTTCCTTTTTTCTTGAATTTAATCTCTTGGCACATTTAGTTTGTTTTAGTCCTAGCTGATCATTCTAGAGATTCCTGAATTTGTGTGCCTCATTTTAGGCTTGTATTCCAGTCCCGTTATTCAGAATATGTATAGAATATTTCTGCCTTGATTGACAACTGCGGCTTGACACTTCTTGGTTCTCTAAGTGTAGCTGAGTCAAGTTGAGATTTACCAATTTCTCCCACATTGCTTCCATTCATTCATTCATTTGCACAGTAGATATTTATGAAGGTTCTGCCATGCTGGACTCTGTGATAGACTTCAGGCATGAGACATGACTCGATCTGGGGTAGAAGGGAGATAATGTAAAGTATTAAAATTGAATGCAATTAATGGGGTGAGAGAAGTCCAGTTATACTCTTGCAATGGAGATCCAGACTGAGGGACTTTGACACATGTCATGGGTATTAAGGAATAACTGGCGTTACATAATTATCTTTGTAATCTTTTTTGTGTGTATGCTCATGTTTCAAAAATGGTATTATATACATGCCTGTTTTCTAATACGTAATATATAATATTTTTCTATAACTAAGAACATACTTCCACATTATTATTTTTGTCTTTGAGGTTTTTCCACATACGGTTGTGTTTAGGAGGTTAGTTCTGGGGATTTGAGTTATTTTTGGTCTGAGCTGCAGTGTAGTTTGTCAGTTAACATATTCCTTAACACTTTTACATTTGTTTTATGCACACATTATTCTAGATACGTTTTTTTTTTTTTAATCTTCACCTGAGGATATGTTTTACTGACTTTAGAGAGAGAGGAAGGAAGGGGTGGGAAGAGAGAAACATCATTGTGAGAGAGAGACATTGATTGGTTGCTTCCTGTATATGCCCCAACTAGGGATCAAACATGCAGCCTTTTAGTGTACAGGGTGATATTCCAACCAACTGAGCCACCCTGCCAGGGCTCTAAATAAGTTTTTTTTTTAATAAAATTTTTTATGGAGAAATGAAATACTGTAATTCTCAATGTTTGTGATTTTTCTTTAATTTTAAATTTAATTTTTACTTATTGCCATTTTATTGTCCATATTTTTAATCTTTTTTTTCTTCTTGTAGAGGACCCTGTAACATTTTGTTTAATACGGGTTTGGTAGTGATAAACTCCTTTAGCTTTGTCTTGTTTGGGAAACTCTTTACATGTCCTTTGATTCTAAATGATAGTTTTCCTCAGTAGAGTAATCTTGGTTGTTGGTCTTTGCTTTTCATATTTTGAATATTTCTTGCCACTCCCCTCTGGCTTGCAAAGTTATTGTTGAGAAGTCAGCTCCCATAGTCTTATGGGAGCTTGTTTATAGGTAACTAACTGCTTTTCTCTTGCTGCTTTTAAGATTCTCTCTTTGACTTTAATCTTTAGAGTTTTAATTATGATGAGTCTTGGTGTGGGCCTCTTTTGGATGTCTTGTTTATGACTTTGCACTTCCTGGGCTTGTATGTCTATTTCATTCACCAAGTTAGGGAAGTTTTCTGTCATTATTTTTTCAAATAGGTTTTTCAATTTCCTTTTCTCCTTCTTCCAGCATCCCCAGGATGTGAATGTTGGTAAACTTGAAGTTGTTCCAGAGGCTCCTTACACTGTCTTCATTTTTTTGGATTCTTTTTTCTTTTTGCTGTTCTGATTTGGTGTTTTCTGCTTCCTTATACTCCACATTGTTGATTTAATTCTGGCTTCATCTATTCCGTTGATTCCCTCTCAGGGGTGTCCAACCTTTCAGTGTCTCTGAGCCACACTACAAGAAGAGTTATCTTGGGCCACACATTAAATACATTGCAGCATGTAGTCACAAAAAGGTCTCATGTTTTAAGTAAATGTACAGTTTTTGTGTTGGGCTGCATTTGTAACTATCCTGAGGGACTTGTGTCCTGTGGGCTGCAGGTTTGACACCCCTGCTTATTCTTCATTAATGTAACCTTCATTTTTTAAAGATTTTTATTTATTTATTTTTTAGATTTTACTTATCTTTAGAAGGGAAGGGAAAGAGAGAGGGAGAGAAATATCAATGTATGGTTGCCTCTTGTGCCTCCCCTGCTGGGAACTGGCCTGCAACCCAGGCATATGCCCTGACGGGGAATTGAACTGAGATCCTTTGACTCACAGGCCCGTGCTGAATCCACTGAGCTACACCAGCCAGGACCTTCATTTCTTTTTAAGATTTTATTTTATTTGTCTTTTTTTAGAGGGGAAGGGAAGGAGATAGGGAGAGAAAGATCAATGTATGGTTGCCTCTCGTGTGTCCCCCACTGGGAACTGGCCTGCAACCCAGGCCTGTGCCCTTAATACTGGGAATTGAACCGCAATACTCTGGTTCACAGGCCCACACTCAATCCACTGAGCTACACCAGCCAGGGTTCATTTCTGACTGATTTTTTTTTTTATGGTTTCCATGCCCTTTTTATGCTGTTGAAGTTCTAAGTTCATATACTCCTGTAGTTTCATCAAGCATCCTTATAACCAGTGTTTTGAAATTTGCATCTAGTGGATTACTTGTCTCCATTTTGTTTAGTTCCTTTTCTGAAGTTCTGTTTTTTTCATTTGGAACATGTATCTGGTAGTTTGTCTGCATGCCTTTATTTTATTCAGTTCTTTTTGTAGAGATTCCTCCTATTTTTTCACTTGGGACCTTCTTCTTTGTCTCTGCATTTACCCTGTGTTTGTTCCTATGTATTAAGTAGAGCTGCTGTGTCTCTTGGACTTTGTAGAGTGGCCTTGTGCAGTAGATGTCCTATAGGGTCCAATGGGGTGGCCTCTCAGTCACCTAAGTTAGGTGCTCTAGGTACATCCCTGTGTCAGCTGTGTGTATTCTCCTGTTGTAGTTGAGCCTTAATTGCTGTGGGCATCATTGGGAGGCATCAACCCCCACTGCCCCAGGCCCATTGGCTCCTAGAGTTGGCTGCAGCTACAGTGGAGGAATAGCTGTACAGGAGTTGATCCTTTGGAGCAGGACTTGCTTCAGTGGAGCTTTGGTGCTCACCCAGTCTTCCCTTGGGTGTGTTACTTGTGGAAGTGGTAGGGTTATAATCTGGCATTGTCTGAAGCTTTCCCTGGGGTGCCCTGGCTCTGGGGCCTCACAGGAGGTGACAGCTCAGCCACTACCTGTGCCCTGCCTGTAGCCACCTTGCACAAGCTACAGAGCTATTTGGAGATGGCACAAGACAATAAAGGCCATTGGTATTGAAGAGCTACTGGAAATGGCTTGGGTTGGCCCACAGTTGGGTAAGGTGGGGTGTCAGGGAATTACCAGGGAAGGGCAAACAGTGATAGCTAGGTTGATAGAGACTCTAATATAGTGCCTGCCTGATGGCTCTGCGTGTGTGAGTGGGGTGGGTGTCAGAAAAGGAACAGTGACCTCTGCCAGCACTTTTGTCTTGCCTTGATGTCATATAATTCAAGCTGCTGCCCCAGTGCTGGAGCTTAGAGGGAGTGAGTAAGTCTGTGTGTGGGCTCATAGGAACAGCCTGGGACTCCAGAAGCCCTTGTCTCCTTCATATACAATCCCCACTGGTTTTTAATAGCTAGAAGTTATGGGGACTTTTCTTCCTGCCACTGGAACCCTGGGCTGGGAGTCCTGGTGTGGGGCTAGGATCCCTCACCTTTCAGGGGGGATGTCCACAGCTGAGATGTCCCTCCCAATTTTAAACTGCCACATGTGGGTGTGGGACCATGTCTCTGCCCCTCTCACCAGTCTTGCTGTGGCTGCTTCTTTAAATTCCTAGGTGCAGGACTTCCATTCAGCTAGATTTCATGAGGTTCTGAATAATGTTTATTTTGTAATGTAGTTGTAATTTTGATGTGGTTGTGGGAAGATTTGAGTACTGAAGGCTTTTACCTGCCCTGCCATCTTGATCAGAAGTCCTGTGATGTTTTAAATTACAGTGGAAATATTAGTTTCACTATTTTTATATACATTTGTAACTATCAATTACAAATTTTTACTAATAATTTTAATAAAATTCTTAGTAAAAATTTAAAGATCACAGAACAATTGTTACTTTTTCCCTGATCATTTAGATTATGTTGCATGGTTTAGTTTACACAATCATTTTTATGGTGTTCTGTGACTGCAAAATGTGGATTACCTGTATTAACATAGCGAGTAAATATTTTGAGTAATGGTTAATACTGAGTTGAAATTATTCACATCACATTTGCATTATATAACTTAAAACTGTTTTACTCTCAAATGATGTTAAACACACTTGTATTAATGAGAATATTTTGAAATAATTCATTTCATGGAATGTATTAATAACCCAAGGGCTTTGACTCCTTAGAATCTTTGAATATATGGGTATATACCCACTGTGATGGGTATATTTTTATTTAATTTAGATGATGTTCAGTTTTTGTGTGTGTACATTGTGATATATAATGAGGTTTATTTTGTTTTACATTTTTTAGATTTTTTAAACATACTTAAAGTAGAATAATGTAATAAATCTTCATCTGTCCATTACTCAGCTTAAACAATTAACATTGTACTGAATGGGTATACTTCTTATATGAAATGTAGAGCTATAGGTATTTAGCAGATAATATGGTGTTATAATTTAAACAAAACATTTAATTAAAATTTTATTCATATTTTATTGTGGGTATATTAATTAAAATTTTAACATGTTTATTGTAATACTATGTATTTTTATTTACAGAATATTTTCACAAACCATACTCTGGATATAAATGTAAGATGGCTTGCTGTGCTGTATTTTAAAAATGGAATTGATCGTTACTGGAGACGTGTAGCACCTCAGTAAGTTTCATCACTCTCCCCCTCCCTTTAAGTGAGTTTGTGTTTATTTAAGTGGCCCATATACTCAAACAGGAACATTATAGAGATTAGCTGGTCCCTTTGCTAGGATGACATGCAAATTTGTGAAGTGTTTGACATTTAAAAGAAAAAAGTGTATTATTAAAGAAGAAGTGTGTTCTGCATAGTAATTACAAATCTATATCCATATTGGTTTTTTCCATGATTTTTTTTTATTCATGGGAGGTGTTTGTGTAAATTTCTTGTTGCCTTGCTTTGGAGGATCTTTAATTTTATGGGCACAAAACAAAGGCAACTTCAATTGAAGGAGTCAGGTTGAAAAAGCGGGGTTTTTTTGTTTATTTATTTTGTTAGAGAAGTATGAGATTAGGATTTTGAAAAACAAATCGAGAAGGACATCCAAAGTCTTTTCTGAGCCAGCTGGATGTTAATTCTGGTGTGTTCTGCCTAATTTCCTTTGTGGTAGGAATGGGATAGTGTACATTTATAATTTCATCAGATTCAATTGTAACTGCTCTATGGGTGGTTAAGTGAACATACTTCTCTTGATAATTAATTACATGTTACATAATTGATGGAAAAGCAATGTAGGTGTGACTCCGGAATTTAGTTGGGAGAAAATAGTGGATCTTGCTGAAGAAGTAACAGCCTTTGCTTTCCAGTAGATGGCACCATAGCTCTTACACTCACAGGGCCTTAAAAAAACAACTTGTCTGAGTACTTCAAAATGCATATTAAATATGGTCTTGAATAATATTGGAAGCAACTTGAATAGTTTCAGGCTATATTTAAGATACTGTAGTATAAAGCAAACCCATCTCTTATTTTAAAATTAATTCATAATTTTGAGACAATATTTAATGATGAGAAACTATATTACTGAGTTATTAGAAACAGTGCTGTAGCACAAACTTTTCTGCTACTACATCCAGTTAAATTTCAGGAGTTTCCTAAAATTAATTTTAACAAGTGTATTGATTTGAAAAAGAGAGATCAACATCGATTTGTTGTTCCACCTGTCTGTGCGTTCAGTGGTTGATTCTCATTATGTGCCCTGACTAGATCGAGTGTGCCCTGGGATTGACTGTGCCCTGACCGCAATCTTGGCTTATAAGGGAGGATGCTCCAAACAATTGAGCTACCTGGTCAGGGCCCAAAATTGATTTTTCACTGGTTATATGAAGAATATGGTTATGATGAGTATAAGATGGAGGCATAGGTAGATGGGGGCAACTTTGCCTCCTCGCATGGCCAAGACAATTTCAAAACAAAAAATAACAAGAACTGCCAGAAAATTGAACTGTATGGAAGTCTGACAACCAAGGAGTTAAAGAAGAAACATTCATCCAGATTGGTATTAGGGATGGAGATGGGAAGCAGGGGCAGAGAGGACAGGGGTAGGCGAGGCTGTGCCTGTTAGACTGGGTGGTCCCACATTTGCATATAGATAAACCAGGAGGAACAACTGGGGGTTGAGACAGACCTCGGAATCCAGGGTTCCAGGGCAGGGAAATAAAGCTTCAAAACCTTTGACTGGAAATATCTGTGGGGGTTGCAGTGGCAGGAGAAACTCCCAGCATCACAGGAGAGTTGGTTAGAGACCCACAGGGTCCTAGAAATACACAAACCCACACACTGGGGAATCAGCACCCCAAAGGGCCCAATTTGCTTGTGGGTAGTGGGGAAAGTAACTGAAAGCTGGCCAAGAGCCGAGCAAGTAGCATTGTTCTCTCTCAGCCCCCTCCCCCACATACAGTGTCACAACACAGCCATGTGGGTTGCCCCACCCTGGTGAATACCTGAGGCTTCCCCCTTACAATGTAGCAGGTGCCCTGAGGGGGGGGGGGAATGTGGCCCAAATGAAAGGAACAGAACAAATCTCTGAAAATAGGATTAAGTGATGAAGAGATAGCCAACCTATCAGGTACAGAGTTCAAAACACTGGTAATCAGGGTGCTCACAGAAATGGTTGAATATGGTCACAAAATAGAGGAAGAAGTGCAGGCTATGAAAAGTGAGATAAAGGAAAATATGCAGGGAACCAACAGGGAAGGTAAGGAAACTGGGACTCAAATTAATGATTTGGAACAGAAGGAAGAAATAAACTTTCAATCAAATCAGAAAAAAGAAACAAGAATTCAAAAAAATGAGGAGAGGCTTAGGAACTTCCAGGACAACTTTAAATATTCCAACATCTGAATCATGGGGTGCCAGAAGGAGAAGAGGAAGTGCAAGAAATTGAAAAATTATGTGAAAAAATAATGAAGGAAAACTTTCCCAGTCCGGCAAAGGAAATACACTTCCAGGAAGTCCAGGAAGCTCAGAGAGTCCCAAAGAAGTGGGATCCAAGGAAGCACACACCAAGACACATCATGATCACAGTACCCAAGATTAAAGAGAAGGAGAGAATCTTAAAAGCAGCAAGAGACAAGGAGATAGTTGCTCTGTGGCTCAGTGGATTCAGCATCGGACTGTGAACCAGAGCATTGCGGGTTCGATTCCCAGTCAGGGCGCAAGCCCTGTGGGCCAGGGCTCCAGAGGCAACCACACATTGATGTTTCTCTCCCTTTCTCCTTCCCTTCCCCTCTCTCTAAAAATCTAAAAAAAAAAAAAGAGGGAGAGAGATAAAGAGACAGTTACCTATAAAGGAATTCCCATAAGATTGCCAGCTGATTTCTCAAAAAACCTTGTAGGCAAAGGAGTATTTAAAGTCATGAAAGGCAGAGACCTATATCCAAGATTACTCTATCCAGCAAAGTTATCATTTAGAATGGAAGGGCAGGCAGGTAAAGTGTTTCCCAAAAAGGTAAAGTCAAAGGAATTCTTCATAACCAAGCTTTTATAATATGAAATGTTAAAGGGACTTACCTAAGAAAAAGATAAAAAATATGAACATTAAAATGACAACAAACTCACAAATATCAACAACTGAAATTTAAAAAACCTACAAAAACTAAACAAATAACTAGAACAGGAATAGGATCACAGAAATGGAGATCACATAGAGGGTTATTAGCCAAGATGGAGCAGGGAAAGAATAGGGGAAAAGGTACAGGGAATAAAAAGTATAATTGTTAGGTACAAAATAGGGGGGAGGGTTAAGAATAGTATGGGAAATGGAGAAGCCAAAGAACTTACATGTATGATCCATGAACATGAACTAAGGTGGGGAAATGCTGGTAGGAGGATGGTGTAGGACAGAGGGGAATAAAGGGGAGAGAAGAAATGAAACAACTGTAACAGCATAATTAGTAAAATATATTTAAAAATAAAAATGTCAAAATAAAAGAATATGGTTATAATGGGTACAGATAGTCATTTATAATGACTAAAGGGAGAATAAATTATGATTACATATTTTAGATTTAACTTTCATATAGTTAAAACTCAAGTTCATTTAAAAAATTAATGGTGTTATATGATTTTAGGACGTTAAATCCCAAGGTATCTCTCTTAGTATGTATTGAGATACAGGCTAGAAAGGATGAATGTACTTAGGAGGAAAGGAGGTTAAGAATGTACTGAGAAAGGGAGCAAGGGAACAAAAATTAGTAATCAAAGTGATATTCAAATTGATACTTAAAATCTGCTTGTTTGTATTCTTTTTATTTATTTATTTTGTTATATTTTATTGATTATGCTATTAAAGTTGTCCTGATTTTTTCCTCTCTGCCTACAACTGGCAGCCCCCACTCCCTCAAGCAGTCCTCTCACCGTTGTTCATGTCCATGGGTCATGCGTGTAAGTTCTCTGGCTGCTCCATTTCTTATAATGTACTTTACATCCCTGTGGCTATTCTGCAACTACCTATTTGTACTTCATAATCTCCTCACCTCTTCACTCATTCTCCCACAGCCATCCCATATCCATCAAAATGCTCTCCATATCCATGATTTCCTTGATTCTGTCTGTTCTTGTTTGCTTAGTTAGCTTTTAGATTGACTTCATAGATATGTATTTTTGCCAGTTATAGTGTTCATAATTTTGATCTTGTTCTTTTTCTTAAATAAGTCCCTTTAACATTTTATGTAGTAATGGTTTGATGATACTGGACTCTGTTTTTTTCTTTTCTGCGAAGCTCTGTATTTGCCCTTCAGTTATAAATGGAGCAATCTTGGTTAGGTCTCTCCTTTTCATGACTTCGAATATGTCTTGCCAGCCCTTCCACCCTGCAGAATTTCTTTTGAGAAATCAGCCAGTAGTCTTAGGGAACTCCCTGTAGGTAACTAACTTTTCTCTTGCTGATTTTAAGATTCTCTCTTTATCTTTAACCTTTGGCATTTTAATTATGATGTGTCTTGGAGTGGTCCTCTTTACATCTATTTTGTTTGGGACTCTGTGCTTCCTGGACTTGTGTGTCTATTTGCTTCACCAAATTAGGGAAGTTCTCTTTCATTTTTTTCAGATAAAGTTCTAATTTCTTGCTTTTTCTCTTCTCCTTCTGCACCCCTATGATGGGAATGTTGGATCTCTTGAACTGGTCCCAGAGGCTGCTTATACTATAGTTATTTTTTGGGATTCTTTTTCTTGGTGTTGTTCTGATTGGTTGTTTTTTGCTTCCGAATGTTCCAAATCATTGATTTGATTCTTGGCCTCATTCACTCTACTGTTGTTTTCCTGTAATTTGTTCATTGTTTCAATTAGTGTAACCTTTATTGATGCTATTGAAGTACCCAGTGATTTCCCTGAGCTTCCTAATAACCAGTGTTTTGAACTCTGCATCTGATAGATTGCTTACCTCCATTTTGTTTAGTTCTTTTCCTGGAGTTTTTATCTGCTCTTTCATTTCAGCCAGGTTGCTTTGCCTCCTTGTTTTGGCAGTCTCTGTGTTTGTTTCTATGTATGCTTTAGAATTACTTTGTGTGCCAGTAATGAACATAATTTTATTTATTTACCAAAAACAATCAAAGCCTTGTTTAAAAGGCTTTTTTCTTGTTAAAATTCACAGTAGTGCTTACCTGCATTTATTGTTAGGTAGCATTATCTTACATAATAAATATATCTTTTTTTCAGTGCTCTCTCAGAGGAGGAGAAATCTACACTGCGTGCAGGGCTAATCACCAACTTCAATGAACCAGTAAACCAGGTGAGTGAGACAATGAATGTTAATTATTCTTTCTCTTTTTTTACTTTTTGTTTCTTTTCCCAACTAATTTTGTTTCTTGGCATTAAAAAGGAAATGTTGCTACATAATGTCCATTTGTGATATGTATACACATTTCTCTGTTGTTTTTTTAATTTTGAGACCCAGTTCTACTAGGTGTTAAGAATTTTGGTTAGATTTGGCTATTAATTATTTAAAATACAGAAGTCATTTTAATACGTACTTTTATACTTCTTAAACTTCCTCAGTTTTTAAGCTAACATTGAAAGCTAATGTCTCTATATTTGTAGTCTTACCACATAGAAATTAATTTTAATCATTTAGATCATCTCTCCCTCCTTTATGTAAGCTATAGGATGATTTCAGTTTTTTGTCTCTTTCATCCATCAAATTTTCAATTCTTACTACATGGGGAATAGATAGTAAACTATATAGTCTGCCTCCACCATAGTGGATTTCTTTTTCTAAGAATAAATGAAGTTTTGCTTATGGATACAAAGTATATTGTATTTGGTCATGTATCCAATGTAGCTTTAACTCAGCTTATTTAAATGATCTCAGTTTTTTGCCTTATAATTCCTTAAGGGGATCAGGAAGGCGGAAAGGAATTGAGTAACTCTCACTGGGGTAGGGGTTGATTAGGATGGGTTTGGGTGATTGAGAGATAAACCACTGGTTAGATGTTCTGTCACCCTGCATTTGGAAATACTGATCTGAACAGGTACCATTATTTAAATATCTAATATTGGATGTTCATTTCTATTCTTAGGTGAGTAATTCTCAAATTTTGTAATCTTAGAAGTTCCTTCTTATACTGCCAAAATAAAAACCCAAAGGGTAGTGTCTGTTGATATTTACTGTGTTAGAATATAAAACAAAAAAAATAAATATTAATTAAAATAAAGCCATTCCTTATTAACATACATGGAATTTAAAAAGAATAATAGCTATTTCTCAAAACAATATATAATTTAATGAGAAGAGTCGCATCGTTGCACATGTTTGTATATGTCTGTAGTGTCTGGCTCTTAAAGGAAGACTGCTGCATTTCCATAGCTGCTGCTTCATTTACTGTGTTATAGCATACTATTTTGGTGGAAGTTACATGAAGATAATGTGTTATTGGGAAAGGGAGGATCTCACGGAAAGCATTTTAAGTCCCTAGACCTAAATCCGAGGTCCATAGACCACACTTTGAAAACCACATCTTAAACAATTGTTTTGTGAAAATTCTATTCATTTTGGTCAAATGTATAGTTAACCAAAAAGGTAAATTTCAACTGTGAATGCATTTCTTATTCATTATTTTATGCATATGTTTGTTTTTGATGATTAATTTTTCCTTCTCTAGATTGCAACTCAGATTGCAGTACTGATTGCAAAGGTGGCTCGCTTGGACTGTCCCAGACAGTGGCCTGAACTGATTCCCACTCTTATAGAGTCTGTGAAAGTCCAGGATGATCTTCGACAGCACAGGGCATTACTTACCTTCTATCATGTTACCAAGACTCTGGCCTCTAAACGTCTAGCTGCTGATAGAAAACTATTTTATGATGTGAGTAATTTAACATAATTTGATTATGAAAACTGTGCTTATATAAAAATAGTAATTTTATGTAAACATTTTTACATAAAAGAAGACACAAAGAAGGGCTATGAAATCAAGCTGTCATTTTGTTGTAAGCAGGGGACTGTTTCAGGGTGTAATAGTTTTCTGTTCATATTTAAAATTTGGATGTGCCACACTTTGGGTTTTATATTATTTTTCATTTTAGAGTATGCTTATTAAAGCTGGGGACAGTGAAACAGGGAAGGGCTTAGACTAGAAGAAGCAACTGGAGCAAGCCCAGGTGGGCTGCTTTGGCTCACTGAGAGGTCGGAGAAAAGGGAGTCTTGGAGGACAGGTTCAGGGGGTTACCTGGCACGAGCTGTTGCCCACTGCTCCCCAGGTTGCAGGTCTTGTGGAGTCACTTAAGAGTTTACGAGGTGCCTGCCTGTGGGGGAAGAGAAGGGGGAAGAGAAAGGTGGGGGTATGCTCCCAGGAGAACATGCCTAGTTTAAAAACTGAACTTTATTTTGGTCTTATGTATAATTTCTACCGTGCCCTGCCTCTAAATCCTTCTGTTTCTATTCTTACACTTTATTCTGGCTGACAAATATTTTCATGATTTGTGTGCTTGTAAAAGTTTAGGATGCTATAACTCAAAATTACACAGTAAATGTAATAAACGTTAGAATAATGGATGGATTTTCTGACTCTAGATGTATTTAGCCTCATATTCTCAGAAAGGACTAAGAAAAATATTAACATTTATTGAAGCTATAAGTAAAGCTTACATGTTTGAGCTAAAGCCTCTTTTTTCCCCGTCTGATTATATCTCTTTTTTAAAAAATATATTTTATTGATTATGCTATTATAGTTGTCCCAGTTTTTCCCACTTTGCCCTCTTCCACCCAGTACCCTCCTCCATTCCCTATGGCACTCCCCTCCCTTAGTTCATGTCCATGAGTCACACATATAAGTTCTTTCACTACTCCATTTCCTGTATTGTTATTAACATACCCCTGTGTATTCTGTACTTACTAATTTTGTACTTCTTAGTCCCTGTACCTTTTCCCCAATTCTCTCCCTTCCCCTCCCAGCTGATAACCCTCCAAATGATCTCCATATCTATGATTCTGGTTCAGTTTTGCATGTTTGCTTAGTTTGTTTTTTAGATTTAGCTGTTGATACCTGTGATTTTGTTGTCAGTTTAATGTTCATAGTTTTGATCTTTTTCTTAAATAAATCCCTTTAACATTTCATATAATAATGGCTTGGTGATAATGAACTCCTTTAGCTTTACCTTGTCTGGGAAGCACTTTATCAGTCCTTTAATTCTAAATGATAACTTTGCTGGGTAGAGTAAATGTAGGCCCTTACTTTTCATCACTTTGAATACTTCTTGCCAGTTCCTTCTCGCCTGAAAGTTTCTTTTGAGAAATCAGCCAACAGTCTTATAGGAACTCCTTTGTAAGTAACTCTCTGCTTTTCTCTTGCTGCGTTTAAGATTCTCTCTTTATCTTTAACCTTTGGCATTTTAATTGTATGTATCTTGGTGTAATCCTCTTTGGGTCCAACTTGTTTGGGACTATGTGCTTCCTAAACTTGTATGTCTATTTCCTTCACCAAAATTAGGGAAGTTTTCTTTCATTAATTTTTCAAAGAACTTTTCAGTTTCTTACTCTTCCTCTTCTCCTTCCAGCACCCAGATTCCAAAGTTGGTACATTTGAAGTTGTTCCAGACCTTGCCCTATTCTCATTTTTTAATTCTTTTTTTCTTCTTGCTATTCTGATTGAATTTTTTTTTTTCTTCCTTATGTTTCAAATCATTGGTTTGGTTCTCACCTTCATCCCCTCCACTGTTGGTTCCTTATAAATTTTTCTTTATTTCACTTAGTGTAACCTTCATCTCTGACTGGATGTCTTTTATGCTGTGGAGGTCCTCACTAAGTTCCTTGAGCATCCTAGTAAACATTGCTTTGAACTCTGCATCTGATGGATTGTTTATCTCCATTTTGTTTAGTTCATTTTCTGGACTTTTTGTTCTGTTCTTTCATTTGAGTCACGTTTCTTAGTCTCCTCATTTTGGCAGCCTCCCTGTGCTAGTTTCTATGTATTAGGTAGAGCTGCTGTGACTCCCTGTCTCAGTAGCATGGCCTGTTGCAGAACAGCTCACAGATAAGGTGGATGAGACTGAGCCTCAGGTAATCACCAGGGCGGGGCACCCTTGTGAACCAGGTTGATGGAGTGTCTGGGAGGAAACTGTCCTGTAGCGCTCACCCTGATGCCAGATACTTCAGTTTCTCTCCACATGCCACAGCTGCCCTTCCCAGTGCTCCTCTGGTGCAGTAGCCCAGAGGGAGTGAGTCTGCATTAATTCTAAGTTTATTGCAGGCACTTTAAGAGGAGATCCTTGAGAATCTCACATTTTCTTCTGTCGCCTCAAGCCCCACTGGTTTTTGCATCCAGAAATTATGGGGACTTACCTTCCTTGGCACTGGAACCCTTGTCTGGGTGTTCTGCTGTGGGTCTGGGATCCCTCATTCCCGAAGTATCCATCTCAGTTTTTATCCACCAGATGTGGGTGTGGGACCGCTCATTTTATGTTTCTGAGTGTCTGCCCCTTGTACCTGTCTGTACGAATGTGACTTCTTTAACTACTTAGTTGTCGGACTTCTGTATAGCTCAATTTTTTGACGGTTCTGGGTACTGGTGTTTTTATAGTTTAGTGTAATTTTTCTGTGGTTGTGCAAGGAAAAAAGCCATGTTTACCTGCACCTACATCGTGACTGGAAGTTCTCCATACATTTATTTTAAAAGAGGTGACTATACATTCTAATATGAACGAGCTCCAAGACACACTGGGTTCCATGCCAGCGCCTCCAGTGCTCTGTGCCCCTGCTTTGGCTCCCCTGGGCTTGGTGAGTCCTGGGCGCTCAAGAGGCGGGGACAGGAGGTCAGATTATCCCTTCTGATTAGATTATTTGCTTCTGTGTTACAACAGTATTTCATGGGATGATGTCAAATTTAAACTGTTAACTTTTTATGATACTACTGCTTGTGCTGGTGTATTGCTTGGGATAATTGTCGTTGTGACGTTTTGGCTGTAATGAGACATTAAGAAATAATTTGATATTATTTCTGAAATGTTTTATGTGTACTTGAGAATATCCTGAGGTGTCTTAAAAGTAGTTATTGCAGCTGTTGTCAAGAGTGCATGCAGGACAAGGGGGAGAGACAAGGCCTAGTCCTTACTGATCAGTCAGTGAAGATAGGAGCCACTCTTAGATTCAGACGGTTTATGTACTTTGGACTGAGAAAAGAAGTTAGCCATTGGTACCCCCTCCCTGTGGTCTTTGTCCTACCTGCCAAAAAGAACGACTGAAGCAATAGGGCTGAATGACTCTGGTGCAATTAGTGGGATGCCCCATTGCTGAGGAGCCACTTCTGAACTGTCACTAAGTGGCTTTATTTTCTGCATCTCTGTTCTGAAGAGGGTGGGGAAGAAATCCTTACACCCTATGAGAACCCTGAAAGTGAGGAGAAACTGTCCCATGACAGCTTAACAGAGCAGATATGGAAGTGAGCAGGAGGTGGTCTAGCAGTTCTTAGCTGCCTTTCATCCTTTTGTGTTCCAGGAAGACCACAAGGTATTAGTCAGGTTAACTGTTTCCCTACACCTGTAAGCATAGGCTATTACAATTCCTGAATTAAAATAATAAAAGTAGGATTTGATTTTTTCATAGAAATATTATTTTATTTACAGAATGGCATTTCTGACTGGTTGCTGTTGGCTAACCTTACCATAAATAAAATGGTTCACTAGTTGAAACCATTTGAAACTAGTTGAAACCAAAGATAAGCTTATACTTTGAATAAGAAAATTTCTCTGAAGTATGCTAATAATAGTCATATGCATTTTCATTTGTTTTTTATTTAAATAAAATGGCTGTGCAGGCTCAGCTAGATTGGTCCTACACCTTGTGGGAGAAAACTGAAGATCCCATTGGGAGATGATTCTGCCTCAGCCCGAGAGGCAGAGGTTAACTGCATCTCAAGAATAGGGTTTCTAAATAGCAGTGTATATTAGAAAAGCATCCTGACAAGCTTTGGGTCTGTATGCAGTGGTTTGTATGTTCCTGATAAATGCTCAAAAACCATATGCGTAAAACTGGCAGAACACAGAAATTCGACTCCTTTGTATTTCAATTTCTTAGTATGTTGACTTCATCTGATATACTCAGCTACAGTCCATAAATCAGTGTTTTAAAAACTGAGCGTTGCAACCTATAAACAGAAGATAAAAAGTACAAATAGAAAATAACAGACTGTAATGTAGGCTCAGTAATTTTTCAAGAAAATAATATTTTAGGGAGTATGTGTATTTTGTGTGTATGTTCATAGCATTAGCCAATGTAAACTGTATTTACTCTGCATTTTGACTCAGGAATTTTGAAATGTTAATGATAAATGACTCTTGACTATATTAAGTCTGATAGAAAATGTGTGCTCAATTTAAAAACCTAAATGTATTAATATGTAGGTCTAATTGATTACCAAAATCTATAATATGAACAAATCTGTTGATATTTCTTTACAGTTAGCTTCTGGAGTTTATAATTTCGCTTGTTCTCTGTGGAATCACCACACAGACACATTCCTTCAGCAAGTTTCTTCTGGCAATGAAGCTGCTGTTCTAAGTTCCCTAGAACGAACTCTACTATCGTTGAAAGGTACTGTTAAACTTGACATGTTTGTTTTTGAAATGACATCCTTCAGAACAATCACCAAATAGTTCTTCTGGATGGATTTTCTGTTACTAGTCTCGCTGAGAGAATAGGAGTTAATTTCTCCCTCAGAGACAAGGGCTTATGTGTAGTTCGTTTTTATTTTATGAGAATAGTGCTTCCTTTATTCTAATGGATGCACATGTGCAATAGTTTTATGTTATATTCACCATACTGTCATCTCATGGCTCTGAATGCATTCCTCTTAAATATTTCTACTTTCTTTTGCTTCTACTTTACATTTCTCATGTATGTAATGTTAAGGGCTTCTACCCTTATTGTCATGCTGACTCTGCTGTCCACAAAGTTTAGTTGAGCTCTGTTTTCAGTTCTTTTCCCAGAGAACTCAGTTGCCATCTTACTACTTGTACTTCAGGCTCACTTAGGTTTTAGAGGGTACCAGATGGGGTATCCTCTTGGCTTGTGTTTTTCTATGCTTTGCTTGTAGGCATTCTCTTGGCAGAAATTTTCATTTTTACCTTTTCTAAGCTGAGTTATTTTATCTTGAATGTATTTTGAGATCCCTTTTCTTTTTAAAATACTGGATTGATTATTCTCTTTGCCTTTTAGTCTTTCTCCTTAAGAAGCTTTTGATCTCAAGGAGCTTTTAGTTTTACTATAGCTTATTTAGCATCCTTCTATTTTATTCACAATCCCTTTATCATATTCACATTAGTACCTTAAGATGCCACCATACACTCTTGGCACTAGTCTGTCACTTATATTAACCAGGCAGGGGATGCACAAAATCCAAACTTTCAGCATATTTTGGTGAACTTTATGCACAGGGTGAATGCTTTTAAAGGACTGCTAACAGTAAAATCCGTAGTACAGGTGGTTATACAAGTGGGTGGAGATGGTTTTGTGACCATCCTTGAGGAAGACATTCAAAGGCTTTAGAGAGAGATAAGATATATACTCAAGAAAGAATGAGAGAAACTTGTATAAGGTTATATATATAAAACTGTGTATATTAATACTGAATTTAATGATTGAGGAATTTTCATGTGTCCTTCTGATTATAGACTTTTCCTGCTTTACTGATTTCAGAGTTTATTTCCAGACCCTAAGGATGTAGCTCACTGTATATTAGCCTGCTTTAAGCTTTTCCATATCTCCACATCTCAAGGTCTTAGATACACATTGGCATTTCTAAGGCATTAGACCTAGAAAAAAAATTCCATAGCATTTAAAAAAAATACTTACTCCATCCCACTATGAACCCTTGAGGCATAGTTTAAAGTTTATGGACTAGATACAGGTAATCTTTATAATTTCAACCAATAGGGGTTATTGCAGGTGAGAGGTACTGACAGTTATAGAAATTAAGAGAAATTTTGCACTGTAGTTTCAGAAAAATGAGTAGTTATTATGGGAAGAGCACTGGTTTTGAGTCACAACAACTTGTTTTAGTTCCATCTTTCCCACTTAGTAAACCAAGCAGCGACTAGAGGTTCTCTCTCTCTATCTGTTAAGCATAAGGATTATAACCTTCAAGTTTGATGAGGTTTTGTGATTCTGAGATTTTATCATTATGATCATGATTTTAGTATGATAGTTTATGAAAAAATAAGATGCAAATAAAGCTTGGTTTTACTTTTCAGTGCTGCGTAAGTTAACTGTTAATGGATTTGTGGAACCTCATAAGAATATGGAAGTTATGGTAAGTGAAAGAAGTAACTGACTTCTTGTGACTTCAGGAAAATGCTTGGTATATTCCTGAAAATTTTGAAGCTTATTTTTATTAAAGATTTTACTTATTTATATTTAGAGAGGGGAAGGGAGTTAGAGGAACATCCATGTGTGGTTGCCTCTTGCACACCCTTTACTGGGAACCTAGCCTGCATCCCAGGCATGTGCCCTAGACTGAGAATTGAACCAGTGACCTTTTGGTTCATAGGCTGGCACTCAGTCCACTGAGCCACACCAGCCAGGGCTTTTTTCTTTTTTTTTTTTACTGGACAACCATCTAAAAGTTTTTTTTACGTGACAGCCTGAAGTTTATTTTTACCATTTTGTGTGTTAATTATACTTTTGGACTTGTGGTTTGTTTTTACTACATCTAAGCAGCTGTTGTGTGAAGGAGATGACATTGTGAGTGTTTATTTGAATTTGAATTTAATGAACTGTGAATTTGATTGCTATTGTAGCATTACCAAATGTGTCATAGATATTGATATTATTGATATTTTCCTTTGCATATTTTTATATATTTACAGTGAATTTTTCCTTCTAATCATAGCATTTATACCTTCTCTTTGCTGTCAATTAAAAAAATAATATAGAAGAGGGAGAAGTCCTATCAATAAGCCCAACAAGTTGTATTATAAATTCCTTATTGGTATAATGTCCTCTACTTTTTTTCTATGCAAAAATATATAGCTGCATTTATTGTATCCCAAAACAAAATAGAACTGTATTATACTTACTGAGGTATGTGTATGTTAGTTTTCACAGTGAGTTTAGGTCAGCAAAAATGTTGTTTTCTGTGGATTGCTTTGGGGGCCACACAGAAAGTTTGGAAAATGCGCATCTAATTGGGTCTTTGGATGTACTCTAGATTTGACCAGATCCACTCTTTTTTACTGTGTGTGTGTGTGTGTGTGTGTGTACTGGTAAGATTTTTATTGAAATAATGTTTCTAATGTTAGAAGAAGTTAAAAACTGCTAATATACATTATAATCTGATGACTTTTGTCTCTGAAAGGATTACATGCTTATTTTTTTAAGTTGATTACATCTTAATTTTTTTTAAAATTTAAATAGGAAATTTAACAAACCACTTAAAAACTTGTTAGCGATATTGCTAAAATTTCTAAGTATCCTTTTAAGACATCTTATGCATGTTCTTCTAGATATACTTTCTGTCTTGATTTTATATAAACAGGACTTACATGCTATTTTGTTACTTGCTTTTTTAAAACTTAGTGTGTTGTGAATATTTCTCATGTCAGCAATGTATTGATGATTACAGTTGGTGGACCTTTTTTTTTAAATGATAAAATTAGTATAGCCTTCCTATAATTCACTTGCCTAATTACCTATTGATAGGACATATAGGTTGTTTGCAGGTTTTAATTGCTGATAAGTGATGTTAGAACAAACATTTGGGTACATATGTCATTGTGTACTTTTCTAATGATCTCTTTAGGATGAATTTCTCAAAATGGAACATAGTATTGATGTATTACCAGATTGCCAGAAAATATATCAAAGACCAACCACAATTTTAAATACTGATGCATTTTAAATATTTACAGTCATTACCAAACCACACAAAAACAATTCCCAGAAATCAATTTTACAGTTCTCCCTCAGTTCCCTCACTAGAATGTAAGTTCCATAAAGGCAGAGACTTCGTTTTCTTGACTGTTCACCTCAGAGCTTGGAACAGTTTCTCTCATATGAAAATGGTCCGCAGTTATTTGTGAAGTGCATGAACACATGATGTGGTAGAAACACTATGTCAAGAGACTCAGTAATTATTATATGCAATATTATGCTGAGTATTATCAAATTATATTCACTAGAATTATGTTGGTCATTTTTTTTCCCAGCAAAAAGTGAACTGATTTGAATCACATTCTTATAAACTAGATCAGTGGTTTTCATTGCATCTGCTAGTATTTTGTAAGCCCATGGCTTTCCCTTTATAGTTTTTTTTCTGTCTGCAGAAATGATAATATTTGTTAACCTTCACTCAGTTACAAATTCTATATTGTAGCATTTAAGGTGTACTGATTGAAGGTAGAATTTTAACAAATTAAGGACATCTTTAAATAACGTAAAGATCTTAAAAATTCCTGGAACTTAAAAAAAATTAGGAAGTGCTAAATGATAGTGGTGCGATTTTGATTTCTGGAGGCACATAGATTTGGATTTGAACTTCACCTTGGCCTTCTCCTTGTACAAAAATTATGTAGTGCCCATAGCTTGACCCTGGGTCCTCTGCACAGAAACTATGGTGTGGGTTTTTACCAGGTGGTCAGTGCATTCCTGACAGGTAGACTTGGTGAACACAGTCTCTTTCCAGAGGTCAGGGATGAGATAGTTGTAGGTCTTAGAGATGGCATTAGAGGTGGCCTTGACAAAGTTGCCCAGGGTAGCAGTGCAGCCCCTGGCTGAGGGGTAGTACTTGTTGATACCAGCCATCATTGGTAGCTTTTTGGGCACAGGGGCCAAGAAGATGGCTGGTGCCCCTGGGTGTAGGGATTAGCTCACCAGCACAGAGCCATGGTGCCCAGTCACCTTATAAGGGACAGTGTGGGGCTTGCCGATCTTGTCCCAGTAGCCTCATTGCACAGGGACAAGAGAGAGCTTGGCCAGGATGATTGCCTCATGGATGGCAGTGGCTACTTCCTTTGAGCACTTAAAACCCAGACCAACGTGTCCATTGTTGTCACTAATGGCAACAAATGCCTTGAACCAGGACCTTTGGCCTGCATGTGTCTGCTTTTGCAAGGGCATAATTTTCAAAACCTCATCCTTGAGGGGTGCCCTCAAGAAAAAGTCACTGATTTCAGATTCCTTGATGGGCAGAGAAAAGAGATAGACCTCCTCCAGGAACTTGATTTTCCTCCAGGGACTTGTTCTTAACCAGGTGGCTCAACTTGGTGATAGGGATCCACTCCTTATTCTTGGCCTTGCCTCCAAGAGCTCCATGGCCTCGACCCTGACCCCTGTCATGACCTCTGCCGAGATGCCGCTGCCAAATCCTCCAAGGAAGCCTCTGCAGACATCCATTCCGGGGCCTCCGGGCCCTTCCGCAGCACCAGTGTCATCTACCATTTGGTGTTTCCTGGGGGAAAAGGAGATCACCTTGGCCTTTAAAAAAAATTTATCTTTATTGTATTTTTTCCCATTACTATTTAGTCACTTTATACTCTCCTCCCCACAGCAATCACCACACTGTATCCACGTCCATGAGTCCTTTTTCCTTTTTGCTCAGTCCCTCCACCTTCTAACTTCCCTCTACCCACTAGCTGTCATCTGTTCTCCAACTATGAGTCTTTCTCAGTTTTGCTTGTTAGTTTGCTTTGTTCATTAGATTCCACATATGAGTGAAATCATATGGTATTAGTCTTTGGCTGGCTTATTTCACTTAGCACAATGTTCTCCAAGTCCACCCATATTGTTGCTAAGGTAAAAATTTTCTTCTGTTTTACCGCTGAGTAGTACTCCATTGTTTGTCACATAGTTATTTTATCAACTCATCTGTTGATGGACACTTGAACTTATTCTGTATCTCAGCGATTTTAAATAATGCTGCAATGAACATAGGGATGCTTATATTCTTGCAAATTGGTGTTTTGGGTTCCTTTGGATATTGTCCCAGAAGTGGGATCACTGGGTCAAAAGCCAGATCCATTTTTAATTTTTTGAGGTATCCCCATACTGTTTTCCACAGTGGTTGCACCAATCTGAATTTGCAGCAACAGTTTAAAAGGGTTCCCCTTTCCACATCCTCTCCAGCACTTACTGTTTGTTGATTTATTGATGATAGCCATTCTGACAGGTGTGAGATAGTCTCTCATTGTAGTTGTAATTTGCATTTCTCTGACAATTAGTGATGTTGATCATCTTTCATATGTTTATTAGCTATCTGTATGTCTTCTTTGGAGAAAAGTTTGTTTAGCTCTTTTGCACATTTTTTAATTGGGTTTGTTTTTTGGGGGTGTTGAATTTTATAAGTACTTTATAAATTTTGGATATTAGCCCCTTATCAGATGTATGGCAAGTATGGTGTCCCATTCTGTGGGTTGTCTTTTTATTTGGGCTTAAATAAGTAACCCCAGGCTGCTTTGTATTTTCCACCCTAGTTTTTAAACCAATCAGCCTTTGAACCTCAGTTGTTCATCTAATCAGTTGTGACCTGCAGCCTGGATTAAGCTTCATGGGGCAGGGCAGGGCAATTTCTGCTGGTGGGGCTGTTACTTCTCCTCAGGCTGATGCCACTTGGAGAGGAATTGTCTGCTTAAGAAAGATGACTTCTGCAATGTGGGGAATGGCTGAGTACAGGGATACTGGCAGCTGTTCCTTCAGTTCTTTTCCTGGAGCCCGCAACCCAAGGTTCTCCTCAAGTGTCTCTAGTTCACTGTGCTGTCTCTCTGCTGAACTCCAGAGTAAGTGGCTGCAAATGAACTTTTGTGCATTAGCCCTTTAAGAGGCTGTCTGTGTCTCCAGGCATCTCTCCCAGGCAGACAGAAATCCTGCTGCTTTTCACTGCTGGATGTTATTTGGTTCCCTTTCAGGCTTTGGTGCTGTAGGCTGGAGAGCCCAGCTTGAGGTTTAGACCCTACACTTCTCGGGGCCACTGATACATCTCTTCAGAAGTTGAGTTGGCCCACATGGGAGCCCAGCCAGCCCTCTCACTTCTCCTCCACACTCCCTACCAGTCTTACTAGTAGTGGTGAAGTGATTTCTTCTGTCTGTCCTTGGTTATAAGGCTTCTCTCTAGCTGGTGTTCAGTTGGTTATTCAAGATGATTCCTTTATAATTTAGTTGTAGTTCCAGATTGGTCCTTGGAGGAGGTTAGTGTAGATTCAACTTACTCCTTCATCATCATGGATCCCTATGGTTATGAAGGCAGAGAATTCCACAATCTGCCCTTTATAAGCCAGAGAATCAGGAAAGTGTGCTGTGATTGCATATGAGTTTGAAGGA